CAAAAGAGGACATGTAATTTACTGCTTGATATGTTTCTTGTTATAGCTTAAATTTTCTAGATGGCACCAGCGCGAGTCTCACGACTTTTTGGATGACTGTCGTCGTATCGTAATTGGCAAAATCCCCCTCAGTGCAGTCACTGGTATGTCACCATCTTTTCGTTCTACATCAACAAAAAGGTGGCTAGCTAAAGCCACTGCATAGGTGTTGCCCACTGCATATGCACTTTTCTATTCTGATTACTTCAGATTGCTTTGAAACCTCATCGGAGTCCGAGTCTCCTCCCGCTGCGCCACAAGAAGTGTTTCCACAGCTGTTTGCTTCATACACCTCATCGTCTTCGAGTGATTGTACGTCTAGTTTCACCGTTTTTGCAACTCGCCAATTTCTCTTTATAGACGCTTGGAGGGGAGAAGATTCGGAAAATGATCTTTTAAACGCGCTCAGTACTCCACCGGGGGGCAGTAGCAGGGCTTCTACACAAAAGAGGAATGTAGCTGAGGAAGAGTGGGCGCCAATAGTCATTACTGACGAAAAGGTGAGAAATTTTGCTTCTATGTGGTTTGCAGCGAGTCTTTTTCAGCGCCATCGATCAGTGGATGCACCCACTCGTTCACTACGTAACAGTATCGGTTCTTTCTTCAAGAGAGATCTCGGTAGTGATAAGTGAGTTGTATGTAGCTGCTCAGGCCTTAGTTGTTTTCCATCATTCAGGGGGTCCATAGGATCTCATGGTGAACGTGTGGTAGAGTACGCAATCAGCTCATCGGCAAGTCATGATGTAAGGTAATCTAAGCTTGAACATATTGTACAACACGGATTAGCCATCTAGAATGTGCAAGCCGAGGAAGCAGAAGAGGCAGTCGAATGTTTGACGCCAGTCTCACGACAATCCCCAGTGAGTGAATGCATGAGCGCCGCTTTCGCCTTGCTCAGTTTCAAAAAGTTCAGGAGCGCTTGGCTTACGCTAAACCAAGAGTAGATCCTCAAAATGAGGGGCTGCGCATAGCACAAGCCGCACAAGCTGTGGCGCTTGCTGTTCGTCGAGAACATCATTCTGTAGTGCAGGATACAACTGACGTTACCGCTCGATCAAGGTATGTGCGTGTTCCACCGCCTTCATGTGTTAGTTTTCATGACATTTACTCGAGCATTGGTTCAAGATCTGCTTCCTTTCTGTTTGATAGTCCTCATGTTGACGATCGGGAGAAATCAAGCATGCAAGAGCGAGAAAAGAGCGATGTGGGCACCGAGCGCGGAGTGAGTCTGGAAGGTTACTTGATCATACCTATAGTTCTTTTTTCATTTCAGAAAAGTGATGCCGAGAATGCGCACAACAACGGGAACGGTGAGGGGACGAGAAATCGTTTTTCCATAGGTTCTTTCTTCACCAAACTGAACAGGTGCTTATAGTCGGGAATCTGCTTTTCTTGCCAAATCGGATCGTTTAAACATTGCAGACAACGTTTCGCGAGTGAGTGCCACCCTGTCTTTCAGGCAGCCACAACGCATCACTCTTGTCATCCCATCAAGACCATGCTGTTTGTCACATCTATAATACGTTTTTAGCACAGATTTGCTTTGTGATGACCTGTTTTGCTTTCAGCGAGAGAACTTCTTCGTGTCCGGATTTTCTTGGTGAGAAAAGAACTCCAGTGGGAGCGGTTAGTGCAGCTTCATTCTTATATTATCTTATTGGTCATATGTTAAGATCCTTGCTGAAGTAGCAGTCAAGGCACCCCAAGAAGATCTGCTGGAGAGGTTTCCGTATCTGAGACTTGTAAGACCAATGGGAGCTGAACACTGTATGAGGATGGTGTACTCGCATTTCCAATGGAATTTCTTTATTACAGATGCTGAAATTGAGGCAAATCTTGAAAGTGAGCACGAGGTCAGAAGAACCGCGTACATGGAAAAGAGTAAAGTACGTTACTCGAGCATCTTTGCTATAAGTAGTCGATTGTTGGTCCTATCAGTAGGTAGTCATTCCAAAAATCTAGATTAACCTCGAATTTTTTCTGGACATATAGGCCCGCTAGGGAAACATCTCAAAAAATTTTGTGGAGGACGACTAGTCTTAATCCCC